GAGAGAGAGAGAGAGAGAGAGAGAGAGAGAGAGAGAGAGAGAATAGAGAGGGAGAGAGAGATAAACATTAGGAGATAGTATTGCTAAAGAGGAAGATTCATCATTAGCAGTCAGCATGTTGTGTCCCAGATGTGGATTTTAAATGGAGTTTGCCAAGGACTCTTCCAGGGGTGTGCGTCTGGTGTCTGCATGAGAGAGAGAGAGAGAGAGAGAGATTATTATCCATCAAAGAGCAATATGCTCATTCATTGAGGCAACTCCTCCCTATGTGTCCGTGTGCCTAGTTGGTTGGGACATGCGTATGAGAGAGATAAAGTTTCATCGTGCAATGTTAGAGAGAGACTTTATTCATAATGGCATCTCTCTCTCTCATTTTCAATTTACACCCTACCTATCACATTAAAATCTTAACAACTCCCAATTTTTCCTCTAAGTTCTCTCACATTGTGGCCAAATTGCACCAGGAAAGGAAGCTAACAACAAAAGAACATCTCGTACTGAGGCTAGAAAAGCAATACCCTGTGGATGTCGGGGTCATATCGGCCTTTTTCTTGAACTACCTGAAACTTCAGCCTGGGGAAGCCCTCTATCTAGATGCCAATGAGCCCCATGCTTACATTCATGGGGAGTGCATTGAATGCATGGCCACCTCTGACAATGTTGTACGTGCGGGACTCACCCCAAAGTATCGTGACGTTCAAACCCTCTGTTCCATGTTGACTTACAAAAGGGTGCGTTTTCTATGCTTTTTTTTTGTTTCTTTACTGATTTGGGAAATATTTACCATAATCTAGAGTAATTGTCCGTTCCTGATGATGGGCAATGGAGATTAAAAATAGTAGGGCCTACTGGGGCACTCATCATGGTATATTTAATCTACATTGTTGTATATATTGCATATATATGAGAACCGACTTTGGGTGCTTGCATGAGGTTCAAGGGAAGATGAAATGCCTCAAGATTTTGGGATAGAGAACAAAATACATTTACTCTTTATTGAAGTTGGCAAATACTTGAACTGGTAAAGCATTTGGTTTTGTGAACAAAGTAAGTGTGGGATTTGTGCTTTCACCTCAGTTATTTAGAACCTGGAAGAGTTGTGAGAGAGGGAGGTAGGAAAGGAGGGAGGGAGGGATAGACAGAGAGAGATTTCTTAGAATCTTTGAACTACAGATTCAAATAGACCAAGGGGTAGTGTTGTGTTTCCTTAAGCATACAATCGCAAGTCTGTTGAGCTACGACCTTGAACCCAAACTGGTGAATGTTTAGTAGTTTGTGCTATAATTGATGAGAGCAGCGTCTAAAAAAACGCCGAGTCGAATCGGACTCATCCGGTTCGATTCGGGAATCGTCATGGACGGATCGAATCGGCGAAAAAAACGGGAATCGTCCGGTTCTAGAGAGAAACGGATGATTATGTATAGTGACTCGCCGATTCACTGTACGGAATCGCGAGTCCGTACAGTGAATCGGCGAGTCCTGTACGGTATTTTTTTTTTTTTTTTTGTGGTAATCC